TATATATATAAATATTTTAAAAAAATTATATAATTTATATAATAAGCTATATATAAATATAAAAAGTTACTTATTTTTATATTATTAATAGGTTTAAAATTAAGCTTAAACTTTAATATAGTTTTTTTAGCTTTTTAATAGCTATTATATAGCTTTTAAAATTAAAATAAAATGTTTTATAATACTTTATATATTAAATAAGCTATATAATTTTTTTAAATATTTTATTTATTTTTTCCTAATAGAAAAAATATAGTCTAAAAGGTAGTACTTTAAGTAAAAATTTCTAGGTACTTAAACTACAGCCCGAATAGCAATTTTATACAGCCCGAATAGCAATACTCTAAAGTTATCCTTAGCCTTATATAGCCTTATTTTAACTATTAATATTAAAACTAATATGCAGTTTATTATATTATATTAATAAAGGATCTTTTAAATATAGCCCTGCTAGTTTAAGATAATTATTTAAGCTTTCTTATTTTACTAAATATATATACTTAAATAATAATAGTATAAGCCTAAGTTTATTATAAAAAAGCAGTAATATAGGGTATCCTTAAGCTTTAAGATTTTAGTTTTATTTTTACTAATTAAAAGAAGATTATTTATATAAATAGTAATAAAAATCCCTTTTTTTATATAAAAATTACTATCTGCTAATATTATATAAAAGCTAAAAGTAAGGAGAAAGTTAATAAAAGATTTATATTAAACCCTTAAGGCTTACTTTAAACTATATAAAGCTTTATCTAACTTATATACCTATCTTAAGTTATTATTTAAGCCTATAAGCTGCTTTATATAAATATCTTTATTAACTATACTATATAAAAATGCTATTTTTATATTTATTTATTTAGTTTTTTAGTTTAAGGCTGCTGCTATTATAAATAGCGCTTTATAAGTTATTAACTTAACTATAAATATAAATATCTTAATATAATTAATTTTAGTAATTTATTTAAAACCTTAAATAACTTAATATACTTTATATTTAGTAATTTAGTTATTAAAGCCTTTTTTTAGCTTATAAACCTATTTACTATATAGGATATTTATACTTAAGTTAAGGTTAATAAGTTTTTAAGTATTATTATTTTTTAAGGCTTATATTTTATTTATTATCCCTTTATATTACTTTTCTTAAAAGAAGCTTTAGTTAGCTTTTTTAAAGGTTATAAGCTTAATATTATTAATATAGGTCTTAGCTAAGGCTGCTAGTATAAGAATATTAAATAAAAAGCACTAATTATAAAATAAATACTTAAGCTTTAGGTGCTTTAAGACTTTATTATTTCATTTTCTAGAATATTTACTAACTTAAGTTAAGCTTAAAATAGTAGGATATTAATTATAAACTAAATAAAGCTTATCTTTTAATATCTTTTCTTAATTTATGCCTAGCTGTTTATTTATATACTTATTAATTAAGTTATTATAGTTTTAATTTATAATATAGTAGGGATATTAAGTTTAAAGTAAATATTTAAGGAATTAATTACCCTTTTACTTAGTGTAAGGAGATAGTAAATACTATAGCTTATAAAGCCTAGCAGAATATATTTAATCCCCTTATTATTAAGCTTCCTTTTTTATACTTATAAAATTAAATACTAGGCTATAATACCTATAGTCTTAATATTTAAAATATTTAGCTGCTAGCTAAAAATATATTTAAATAGCATTTTATTTAAAGCCTTATATAGGCTTTAATTTTAGAAAATTTTTTAAAAAACCTTTAACTAGTATTATTTTAAAATATTATTATTTATAAGGGTAGGCAGCAGCTTATTATATATTATAATATTAAAGCTCTTTATTATACTATTAAATTAATACTGCTTTATAAAAGAACTTTTTAATATAGTTTTATATTATATAGCCTAGAGATTAAAATTATAATTATTAAATTCCTTTACTTTATAAGTCCTCTTATTTACACTATAGTATATCTTTATTTAAACTATAGTAGTCTATACTCTTAACTAGGCTAACCCCCTAAGTATATTTATTTAAACACTTATACTAAAATATAGTATAGCATACTAGCAGTTATTACTATTAAGGAGATATTATTAAGAGAAGGGTATAAAAGGTAATTAGGGCAGGCTAATTTATTTAAAAATAGCGTTTTCTTTATTCTTTATTAAATATATATATAATTACAGCTAGGCTAGTTTATCTTAATAATCCTAGGCTGCTAATACTAGCTAGGTAGCTAAGATAATAATAACCTTTTTTATAGTATTATTATTACTATTATTACTATTACTATTACTATTAAGGGCAGCAGTAGTAATAGCTTTAAGCTATTATTATATTATTTATAATCTTTATATAGCTAGCTGTAATTATAAACTAATAAATAATTAAAAGAAGGCTTTACTACTGCTACTGCTGCCTTTATAAGTAGAGTAATCCTATTTAAACCGTAGCATATTCCTATTTGAACTATAGTGGTCTATGCAACAGCTAGAGAGACACCACCAAGTGGTAAGGTCCACGCCCGCACAGCAAAATACAGTGTAGCACACTGGCAGTCATTACCATTAAGGAGATTTATTATTACCAGAAGGGACAGCAGCAGCATTAGCTTCTAACCGTCGCCGGGTTACTCATAATCTCTGCATAACTAGCTGCAACTTAAACCTATAAACAACTGTAAGGAGGCCCTGCTGCTGCTGCCTCTGCTGCTGCCTCTACTGCTGCCTCTGCTACTGCCTCTGCTGCTGCCTCTGCTACTGCCTCTGCTGCAGTTATAGCTTCAGCCCTAGGGTAATAGCAGTCACAATAATAAAGGCAAAGGGTCTACAGTATTAGAGATCGCAATACTATTATTTATAGTGTTATTATACAGGCTACAGAATGTACTATCAGCTTACACTATAAATAGGTATGCAGCTCTAGGACCAGTAGTGTAAGCATAATGATTTTAATATAGGCATAGACCACTACAGTTTAAATAGGAATATGCTATAGTTTAAATAGGATTACTTTATAAGTATAGCTATATCCTTAGCTATAATATAATAATAATAATAATAAAGAGGGTAAGGCGCTGCTGCCCTTTATCTTATATTATAATAAGACTTACTATATAAATAGATTTAAATAATACACTAAGGCATGCTACTAGGGCTATTAAAATACCCTGCTTTTAGTTTATAATAAAGCTAGCGCTTATAATAAAGCCAGCGCTTATAATAAAGCTAGTATTTTTTTATCTCCTTCTTTCTTTTTATTATTAGCTTAAAAGCTTATTAGTATAGTTAACTTACTATTTTTTAAAATTCTTAATTAGCTATAAAGGTTTTAAATAATATCTAGATTATATAAGTAGAGGAGAGGCTTATTAAGATGCTAGGAGGTAAGATTAGTAGACTTTTTATAAAATTTAGCTAGTAATTTTACTAAAGGTTTCTCTAGCCACTACTAGGGGGGTCTTAAAAATAACTGCATTTCCTATCCTAGCTTTACTAGGATAAGGGGGCCATTAAGTTATAAAAGGGTTATTAATTTGTAAAATACTTAAATCTTAGTGCGCATGCTATATAAATTAAAGTACTATTTTATAAAACTATCACCCCTACTTTAAAAAAAGCCATTTCACTTAAATTTAAAATCGCCTTATAATAAGGATTAGCCTAATAGTCTTTTTTCTTTAAAAATTGCAAAATTAATAGTTTAAGGGTACTTTATATTATATAGCATATATATTATAAGTAATATATCTTTTTTTATAAATTAATAACCCTTTTATAAATTAACAGCCCCCCTGTCCTAGTAGAGCTAGGATGGGAAATGCAGTCGCTTTTAAGACCCCCCTAGTACCTTAAATAGATATCCTTTTTATAAAGGGCCTTATCCTCCTTTAACCTCTTTAAGATTATATAATAGTAAGGAAGCCTATACTATTAGCAGAAGTTGCTAATATAAGGCTTTAAAGCCTTAGGTAATAGGTTAATATATAAGGGTATTATAACTATAGCTAGATAATATTACTTAGCTAAGAGGTTAATAGTAATATAGCTAATAATTAAAAGGATATTACTAAGCTAGCTTTAATTAATAAAATACTGCTGCTAATATATTTATATTCTAGCTGCAGTTTAAATATAGTTATATTCTTCTTATTTAATTATAAATATAATTATAGTATATAAATAATAAAGATTATTAATTTTAAAAAGGAGATATAACTTAATATTCTTATAAGCAGTCTTAATAAGACTGTTAACCCTTTAGCTATAATTCTAATACTATTTAATAAAGTAGTAAGCCTACTGCTAATAATAAGGCATATACTTCTTTAATATATAGTAAAGGAGGTGTATTTATAAAATACTATCTTTCTTTTTACTATATCTCTTTTTATTAATGCTTAAGCTTATAGGAAGTTATCCTTATTATTAATAAATATTATATACTTCTAGTTATAAAATATGCCCTTATAAGTTAGCTTTTTATTAGCTAGCTATAAGTCTACTACTAGGCATTCTTCTTTAGCTTCTTATTATATAGCAGCAGCCTAGGCAGTAAGGTTATTATTTAGCTTATTAAGATCTTTATTAGCTACTTTATTATTAATATATTTATTAAGGCTATTATAATTATCCTTTTAGTATAAGCAGATTTTTAACTAGATGTTAGTATTAATATAATATATATAGAGTTACTACTAAAAGAGAGGAAAGATATTATTAAAGTAATGCTATTTGGACTATATCAAATTGCTATTTAGACCGTAGTGGTCCATGCCTATACTAAAATTACTGCGCCCACACCAGCCCTCCTATAGCCACACACCTAATCACAGTGTAATTTACTAGTAAGGCCTATGGCCATAACATAACACCAAGACTTTATCATTTCTAGCCGTTTTTTCACCCTTATCCCTAGGCATTATAATTTTCAACACTATAGACATCAGGGTCGCAAAAATAAATCCCTCACAGCTAGGCAACAGTTAACTAAAGCCGCCGTTATCTTCAGAGTTATTACAGGGCGCCAGTCTTGCAGAGATCCGCAAGTTCTATAGCCCCTCAGCGCCAGAGGCAGCACAATTTAATAGCAACAAGCTTAACAACAACAACTTCAACATACTTAAGACAGCAGCATCGCCAAGGCTAAAGACAGCAGCATCGCCAAGGCTAAAGACAGCAGCAGCGCCAGAGACAGCAGCAGCACTAGAGACAGCAGCAGCAGAGGCCACAGGGTCTAATAGCAATAACAACTATAAACTTAACATAAAGTGGCCGTCTATAATGCAATTTCCTAATAACCCTAACTTCTTTAATCCTAAAGATCTAGCTTTCCTCCCTTAAGAAGAGACACTATTGCCGCCGCCTCTATATATTAAGAGGGCATTAATACCGCTGCCTATATATACCACGCCACTACAGCAAGCTTAGGCGGCTGCAGAAGCTCCTTAGTAAGACAAGAAGATTATAAAAGTCCTATAAGCAGCCTAGGAAGCTGTAGAAGCTATATAATAAGCTGCAGAGGATATAAAGCTATCCTAGCAATCCCAGGAGGTTATAGAATTATTGCTAATGCTTCCCGCCGCCCTAGAGGCACTAGGACTAGAAGAAGAACACCACTTCCCTATCCTACCGCTATCAGCAATATATAACACATTTAATAAGCTATTTTTATTCTTATAAACCTTCTATTGCCCTTACAGTCTTACTATTTATATCCAGTAAAGCTCTAACCCCTAGATTATTAATAGCATTAGAGTTAACACCTATTATCTTCTTACCTATAACCGCGCTAGCAGCTAAGCTTCCTTAAGCACTAGAATTTAATAAACTTTAACTTAGCAGATAGACTGTCTATATAAAATAATAGTAATAGTAAGAAAGAGGGATAACTAGTAATAGTCTTATAGTATTAGCTGCGCTAAATATAATTATCTGCCCTTATTAAGACTGTTAGCCTATATTATGCACTATTACTGCACTTTAATATAGTAGCAGCAAGAGCATAATCTTATAAAGCACTAAGCCCTTCCTGCCTAAAAGATAACTAGCATTATTAAAAATATAACTAATAAGCCTATATTCTTTTAATAAAAGGATATATATAATAATAGGTAATAAATATGCTATAAAGGGCTAGGTAATCTCTCTACTACCTAAGCCTAGATTAAGCACCTTTAGAATAATAACCTTAAGCACTATATTAAGCTAGATAATAAGATAAAGGTATAAAGGGTTATTTAAACCTATTCTTAATATAAGGATATATAGCATTAGTTCTTAAAGGTCCTTAGTCTTAATAATATATATAAGACTAACCATTTTAATATATTCTTATTTAAGGCTATTAGCATTATAGACTATAAGTTTATTACTAATTTTACATTTAGTCTTATTAATTTAAAAAAGGAAGATAGCTTCTTATAGCTTTATAAAAAGCTAAAGCAGCTTTATTAAGAAGTCTTAGCTCTAGTGCTATTTATAATTATTATAAATAAAGAGAAAGCGCTTAAAAATACCCTTACCTTAATCTTCTTAACCTTATAGCAGCAGCTTTATATTTACTATATTAACACTAATATATAGGCATAAATCTAAATATATTAGAAAAGCCCTAATAGCAGTAATAATAAAGATAATAATAACTATAAATATAAAGATAAAGACAGCAATCCCCTTAAAGGCAGCATTTATAACAGTTTTAATAATAACCTTACTATCTGCGCTTCCTGCGCTATAGTAATATAATAAGAAGCTAAAGCTGCTAAGTCTTAAATAGTAAGCTTATAGCTTTTAAGTAACTCTTAACTTCTAGTAGCCGCATAGCTTAAGAAAGAGTTAATATATAAAGGCATATTTTCTAACTAAAAGCGCATTATCTTTACTAAAGATAAGGGAGAGTTTTATTTAGCCTAGGCTATAATAAAGTTTACTTATACTACTACTTAAAACTATATTCTATATTATATCTTTAAGGAATATATATTATAAAAAGAGCAGTAGGCTTATTACTTTATTAAATGCTATTATAACTTTAGTTAAAAAGTTAATAGTTTTATAAAGACTGCCTATAAGGATATTAAGTCCTTCCTCCTTTTTAAAACCACTAATCTTCTATATTTTTATAACGCAATCCTTTAAATAATAAAGAAAAAGAAAAAGGATTATAATAATAATATAGCTAAAATATAAATATAGTAGTGCTAATGCTTTATTTAGTAATAAAGTTAGCTTAAAGATATTACTATTATAGTTAAATATATTAAAGTTAATCTCCTTACTTAGCAGCACTAACTTGCCTTAGCTGCAATACCCTTAAATATTAACCTAAACCTAGACTCCCTGCCTAAGTGCATACACTCCTTTATATAATAGTATAGTCTTTTATACAGCCACTTTATCTTTAATAAGCTTTAAGACAGTAAGGCTTTTTATAAAAAAAACTGCTACTTATAATAGTAGCTAGTTAAGCCATTAATAAGATTTCTACTTATTTTTTATAAGATCTTAACTAATCTTATATTCTTATATCTTTTAGGATTTTAAAAAGCTGCTTTTTTATATATATAATCCTAATATAGTTTAAAGTCTTTACAGCCAGCCCTAACTTTTAAATAATAGCAAAATGCCTATACTAGTAACACTTAAAGCAGAGGAAGAGGATAATAAAGCTGCGCTAGCCTTATTATAAACTAGGGCATGCTAGCAGCTTTATTAGCAAGCTTTAATATATTATCTTAATCCTTTAATATAGTAAGTCTTATTATAGTATAAGATAAAGGGCAGCAGCAGCTTGCCTTTATTATTAACCTAGGCTTAAGGATATAGGTAAGGATATAGGCAAGGATATAGTTATAGCAGCAGCAGCAGGGCTTCCTTATAGTTATTTATAAGTTCTAGATTACAGCCAGCTATATAAAGATTATAAGTAATATAAAAATAACTTAAAGCTATTACTGCTGCTGCCCTAAATAATAACAGTAATAACAGTAATAACAGTAATACTATTAAAAAGGTTATTATTATCCTAGCTATATAGCTAGCAGCAGCAGTCTAGGATAGTTAAGATAAGCTAGCCTAGCTGTAGTTATATATATATTTAATAGGAAAATAAAGAAAACGCTGTTTTTAAATAAATTAGCCTGCCTTAATTGCCTAGTCTTAACCCCTTATACCCTTCTCCTAGTAATATCTCCTTAACAGTAATAACTGCTAGTATACCACACTGTATTTTAGTATGTAGGCATGGATATTACCACTTAAGGGTATCCCTCTAGCTATAGCATAGACCACTATGGTCTAAATAGCAATTTAATATAGTCCAAATAGCATTACTCTATTATTAAGTGTATTTTTTAAAGCATCTTCCTTATTTATAATAGTAATAAATAGCGCTAGAATATAAAGGTTTTATTAAATAGCCTTTAACTTCTTATATAGCTACTAATAGCTATCTTCCTTCTTTATATTGATTAAGCTAAAGGTAAAGTTAGCTACTAACTTCTAGTTTATAATACTAATAACCTTAAAGAGAAATAGGCTAAAATAATTTATTTTATAAGTATTATTAATCCCTAGAACTTTAAAAAAGTGCTGCTATATTATCTTTAACTATTTATATATTTAAATAATCCTTTAGATTTTATTCTCCTTATTAATTTTAATAAAATAATAAAGGTTACTATTTTAAAGCTTTTAAATCTAGGCCTAGGTTATTAACAGGCTACTAAAGGCTTAAATCCTAATTCTTTAATAATTATTATAAATATTAATCTAGTAAAAGAAGGTAAGTTTATTAGCACTATTTTAAATAATCTAGGCTATTTTTTTAACTAATAAGGCTTAATGCCTTACTAGATCTTTTTTTTATTATTATTAGGCTATAGTTTATTATTAATATATAATATGCCTTAATAAATTAACTAATAGTAAATAATTATAATTTATATAAACTATATAATAAGACTACTTTTAGTTAGCTTATTTAAAAGCTAAAATAGTAATTTTATATAAATAATCTACTTATTATATTAAACTTTATTAAATACTAGTACTTATTAAAGTCTAAGGGCTAGTGCAGTTATAAATAAGGGAATAATATATTTAGACTTATTAACTATTAATAGTTTAAGGATTAAAGCTGCGCTTAATATAAAAGGTAAGGCTATAATTATAGTAAAAGGTTTATAAAAATATAAAAAGCTTATTAAATATATTATATAATATTAATAATAGTAAGAGAGGGAAGTAATACTTTAGCTTATTTATAGCCTTTAGCTTATTTACAGCCTTTAGCTTATTTACAGCTTTTAATAATAACTCTGCGGCTTATTATATAGCTTTTATAGCCTCTTAGGCTTATTAAGGAACTTTTATAAGCTTATTATTATTTTATAAGTATATAGGCAGCAGTTATAATACTCTTTTAGTATATAAAGGCAGCAGTAATAGCATCTTTTTATAAAGAAGAAAGGCTAGATTTTTAAAATTAAAGTAATCTAGATTATTAAGAAATTGCATTATAAATAGCTATTTTAAGTAATAGTTATTATTATCTTTTTTTATAGCCTTTACTATTATAGCTGCTGCTATAATAGCTAGTGCTAAGAATAGTAATTTAGCTATCTTAAAAATATTAAATCTAGTGTTATTAAGGTTATTTTTATTAAATTCCTTTACTAGTAATGCCTTTAGTGCCTTTTTTACTAATAAGCTATAAAAAGTGCAAATCTTTAAAGACTAGCGCCTTATAATAACTTTAAGGGCATTAGTGTATTAAAATAGCTGCCTTTTAGCTAAAAGAAGTTTATTATAATGCTAATAATTATAATCTTAAAGGTTAAAGGTTAAGGGTTATAATAATTAAAGGCAAGAGTAAAAAAATAGTAAAAAATAATAAAGTTTTAGTATTATATTATAGTATAGGCCTTATTATTAATTTATACTATAAATAGGTATGCAGTTATAAGAATAATAATATAGGCGTATTAATTTTAGTATATATATAGACTACTATAGTTTAAATAGAGATATACTATAGTGTAAATAGGAGGACTTTACTTTATTTAGGTATATAGTTTAATAATAGCATCCTTATAATTCCCTGCCTTTTAAAAACTACTAGGGGGGTCTTAAAAACAACTGCATTTCCCATTCTAGCTCTACTAGAATAGGGGGCATATTAATTAGCAGAAGGGTTATTAATTCGCAAAATACTTTAATTTAAGTGCGCATGCTATATAACTTAAGGTACTGATTTAATAACTTATTACTCCTGCACTTAAAAAAGCCAATTTATATAAATTTAAAATCGCCTTAACTTAAGGAGCAGCTTAATAGTATTTTTATAATCTTAATTATAGATTTAAGGGTTTTTATAATACCTCTTATTATATAGTATATAACACTTTAACCTATATATCTTTTTTTTATAAATTAATAAACCTTTTACTAATTAATATACCCCCTGTCCTAGTAGAGCTAGAATAGGAAATGCAGTTATTTTTAAGACCCCCTTAGTATATAAAGTACTATATAAACTCTTAAATACCTTATTAATCCTTAATAGTCTTACTTTTACTAAATTAACTGTATTAATTAATAAGTATAATCTAGTATTATTTCTTTTTATAGCTAAAAATATAAAATAGTTTATAAATATTAATATAAATTATATTAAAAATATACTTACCTTATTAAAGTTGCCTTTTATATAGCATCTTTTTTATTTAACCTTAAAGGCATAGTTTATAAAAATAGTACTTTTAAATAATATTTATCTTATTTACTATATCTTTTAACTTAATAAGGTAATTACTATTAAGGTAACTTATTTAATTATACTATAGTTAAAGTTTAAGATTAAGTATATAAAAGATAAGCGCTTATATTAAAAGGGCATTAGTTTATAAAATAAATAAGTTTTTAAAGCACCTTATTATAATTTTAATTTTATTTTTTTAAATTATTTAGCTATTTTAAAAGATTTTTATCTTCCCTTTTTAATTAAGTAGCTAAGTAATTAAGATTAGGTTTAGTCTAAGTCTTAATATATATAGTATATTTATAAGTATTATAGGAATTAAAATATTTTTATTTATATAGCTTTAAATAATTATACTAATACTTTTTATAATAATTCTTAAATCTTTAATACTACTAAGTATACTAATATATAATTATAAAAAACTAAGTAAATATTTCTTTTTATACTATATAGTATACTATTTATATTTAAAGTCTAGCACTTAAATAGCCTAAAGGCTATATTAAGCTATATTAAGTATTCTTAAAATAAAATAAAGAAGTTATTAAATTTAGTATTTATATTAGTAATAAACCTAAGCATCTTTTTATTTAATTACTTTTACTAAGCGCTTAGGTTTAAGTATAAATAAGTCTAGCAGCTTTTTTTATTATCTTATTACCTTTTTTTCTTTAAATATAACTTTTAATATATATTTTTTATATAGTAAATCTTATTATAATATATATAATATAAGACTTTTATTATTATAAAGTCCTTATTATTTATTAATACTATATATTTCCTTATTAATAAGGCTTATATATTAATAGCACTACTTTTTTACTTAACTTTTTTAACTTTTAAACTTTTAATAATATTATTTAGTATTAAAAAGGACTTTATATTATAATTAGTTTAAAAATTAATATACTAAATAAAGTATTAATTATTAAGACTATTAATAAACTTAAGAATTAAATAGCTATTTAAAAGCTTATACTAGCTTTCTACTTATAAAAACTTCTTTTATATAGTTTTAATTTTTTAAGTAAAGTCCTTAATTAGCTTTAAAGATATAAAGCTATAATCCTTTTATTTTTTATATATAGTTTAAAGTATATTAAGGCTAAATTCCTAAAATTCCTTTTTAACTTATTAAAAAATATACTAAATAGTTTTCTTTTTTATTATTATCTTATTTAATAAAATAAATAGTATTATTTTTAAAATCTTAATATATTACCTTTATTTACTTTTTTAAGTATTAAGTTAGCTTAATAAAACTTTATTTTTAATACTATAAATACTTAAAAGGTTTTCTGCTTTTATAAGGCTAATTACTAGCTTTAGCTACTAGTCTTAAATTAAAAAGTCTTTATACTTTTTTAATATTAATAATAATTTAAGGCTAAAGGCATTAACTATTATAAGCTTAATCTTTAGCTTAAATACTTTAGCTTCTTTAACTATAATATTATTTTATAAGTTATTATATTACTAAGCTATATTATATATAGGTTTTTAAGGCTAGTTATAGCTTTATAATATATAAACTTTATAATTAAAAATATTAATATTACTTAAAGGTAAAGAAATATTAAAGATTTTTTTATAATTCTTATTTATATTTTTAAGTATTAGCAGTTTAGCTATATTTAAATTATTATTAGTCTTATTTTTATTCTTATCCTCTTAAACTTTTTATATTTTTTAATTTTTATTTTATAGCTTTAGCCCTTATAGTTTAAGGCTAGCTATTAAATTATTTAATAAAGCTATTCTTAGCTATTTTAATTAATAAGTGGCTTTTATTTTATTTAGGTTAGTTAGTTAATATTTATTTTTTATTATTATATTATATAGTAATTTTTAATTATACTATTATAGTTAGATAAATTAATAATTAGGTAAAGGAAATAATAGCAGTACTTAGTAATATTAAGCAGAAGCTAGGCTTATAACTTATTAAAAAGTATATTAATTAACTTACTTATTCTTTTTTTATAAAATAGGTATATAGCTTTTACTTATGCCTTTAGCTAAATTAACCCCCTTGCTACTTATATATTAATACTTCCTATATTAGTGCCCCTTATTTTAATAATATTAATATAATTATTTAAGCATAAATTTAAATATAATAAAAAAGCCTTAATAGTAACTATAATAATAATAAAAATAAAAATAATAATAATAATGCCTTAAATAGCAGCCTTAATAATAACCTTAATAATAACTTTACTACCTGCACTACTTATACTATAGTAATATAATAAAAAGCTAAAGCTACTATATACTTATAACCTTTAGTAAGACTATACTTTAAGAAAGAGTTAATATATAATAGTATATTTTTTAAGTAAAAGCATATTATTTTTATTAAGGATAAAGAAGCTTTTTATTTAGCATAGGCTATAATAAAGAGTATTACTAAGGGGGCTGTATAAAATTACTAAGGGGGCTATAACTAGCCTAATTAGGCTTAGTAAGGGTCTATATATAAAAACTTATAAAAACCTCTTCTAGCTTTAAAAATATATAATTAATTTTAAAAAAATACTATAAAAAAAACAGGTATTATTAAAAAGCTTATTAAATAAACTAATATATTCTAGTTAAAAATTTTACTAATACTTAATAAAGGCCTAAAAAAACTAAATTTAAGTTAAAAGCTAATTTCTAGCTAAATAAATGCTTATATAAGCATGCATTTAGTACTTACTATTAGTTTATAAAGCGCTTTTTAATAAAATATAAAAAGTTACTTAATTTTATATAAAATATATATAAAAAACTAAGCTTAAACTTAGCCTAGGTTTTTACTATAATTATATACCTTATAAAAATTAATAAAAATATTTTAAAAAGTTATATAGTATTCTTAGCTAATAAATTACTTATATTTATTTTTATTATATTTTTTAAAATTTATTTTATATAGAAAATGTCTTATAAAAACATAGTGTATAAAAGAAAAAAGTAAGGTACTTAAACTACAGCCCCCCTAGCAATTTTATATAGCCCCTGCAGTAATACTTATAATAAAAAGCACTTATACTACTATATAAAATTATCTTTTATAATATATTTTTAAAAGATATATACTATAGTAAGAGCAGTAGGCTTATTACTTTATTAAATGCTATTATAACTTTAGCTAAAGAGTTAACAGCCTTATTAAAATAGTATATAAGGATATTAAGTCCTTCCTTTTATTTAGCACTACTAGGGGGGTCTTAAAGTTAACCACTTCCTATAGTAGTATAGCTTACTATAGGGGGCCTGTTAATTAGGAAAATAAGATATTAATTTAGAAAAAAAAAGTACTTAATTTTAAGTGTAGTATATATATAACTAGATATACTAACCACTTATTATATAAGCTATTTAATTAGATATTTACCCTGTGCTAAAATGCTACCTTAAATACTATATAAATTATATATAAAGCCAGGTACTAAATCTATTTTCTTAAATCTATTTTCTAAATTAATATCCTATTTTCCTAATTAACAGGCCCCCTGTAGTAAGCTATGCTGCTATAAGAAGTGGTTAACTTCTAGACCCCTTAAGTAGTAACCTTCTATATCTTTATAATATAATCCTTTAAATAATAAAGAAGAAAAAGCAAGACTACTATAATAACACAGCTAGAATATAAATACAGCAGCAGAGGTAATTTATTTAATAAAGCTAGCTTAAAGATACACCCTTAATAGTTAGCTACTATAGTATTAATCTTCTAGCTAAGTAGTATTAACTTGCCCTTACTATAATGCCCTTAAATAATAACCTTATGCCCCTGCCTAAATATATACACTCCTTTATATAGTAATATAGTCTTCTTTATAGCTATATTATTTATAAAAAGCTAAAAGATAGTAAGGCCCTTAGTAAAGATAATATCTATTTATAATAGTAGCTTATAAAGCCTTTAGTAAGATTTCTACTTATTTCCTATAAGACTTTAACTAAAAGTATTATTATTTAGGCTATATAAAATTACTATTTAGGCTATAATTAACCTCTTTAAGCCTAGTAAGGGTTTATATATTACTTCTCCTTAAAATACTCTTATACTTTAAAAATTTATATAAAATTCTAGAAAAATAATATAA